TAACAGTGCTATCAAATCAACTCATGAGATAGACAACCCCCCATTTTACCGGCGAACTTACAATCCTTTTTTATAAGTTTAATTTATCCGATCTGATGCCGTCAAATTCGGATCACAAAATGAAGAAAACTTGCAAAAACCTTTCGCTAACTTTAGCTCATTCGATCCGATGCTGCCAAATCAAAACCACAAAGTAGACAACCGTCTATTTCCTACAAACTCTTTTCACTGGCTTTAACTTATCCAATTATCATAGTAAGCCAAAGAACAAAAAGCAATAACTAATACAACCAATGTAATATCAAACAGTTTGAGCTCAAAGACTCATTCATTCAAAGAGCAAAAGTTGGAAGATATTTGTGACCTTAAAAGGACGAACATAGGAAAATGGTGCATACTCAACTCTCTAGACTCCCTATTGATTCCTGTAGAAACTGCACTACAACCTTGTATTAGATTATGATTATAGGAAAAATTAGGCAGCCATGTACTAAGTTGATTATGAACATTAAATTTTACAATAATTTCAATATTTAATATTTAAAATAAAAACTTTCCTGCCACCAAGAAATTTCAATTTTTGCATATTAAAGCCAGCGGAGAAATACTAATTTTAATTGATGTCAAAATATAAACCAAAAAAAAAACAAATTCCGAAATACACATTTAATGAATATAGAACAGAAACGACAATTAATAATAATCAAATACAATAATTTTATTTTAGAAAAATAAAAGTTTTATGAAATGAACAACTGCATTCAACGAAAATTGCACACAGCACATAGTTAAAACGCCTACAGGTATGCCACGAAAATTTAATTAAATATCCACAAACACAGATGCAATGCATTAAATCTGTTAAAGTTTGTCTAGTTTATTTGCATATCTGCTAAATAAACTAATAACAATTTTAAGCGAATTTTATATTGCCACATTTGTTGCCAGATATCTATTTTGTAAATTTCAATTTCCCTAACCTGATGTATTAAATATTATTTTCCATTAAGCATCCGCACATGCACACAGTCGGGTGACAGGCGGGCATTAATGCCATTGCGGGCGCTCCAAACACAATTTTGATATCGCTTCGACTCTAATATTAAGGACACACTTTGCCATTACGTGCTGACATGCCCATACAAACATATGAAGGTCCTGAAAAATACACAAACACACATACATATATCTATATACATAGTTGGATGCAAAGCACCTGCCATTTGGAGGTACTCAAAGTAATTTTGGATTTGTAGAGCAACATTAATTATTTAAGTTAATTTTGGCCTTTGCGCTGCGAGTGCAGATAAATCTCAGAATTTATTTGATTTATGCGAAAATGGCCAATTTTGAATAAAATATAAAATTAATTTTGTAAATAGTAATAAATCCAATTGAAGCCATAGTCAATGCTCGTTGAACTGTAAATGGGATGTTGCGAGGATTCCTTTTCACTGAATTTAGCACAATGGCGGATTATTTAATGCAAATCATTATTTATTGATAAATAACTAATGTTGGAAGTACGCCAATAATTTAATATATTTGGAAATAATTGACTATTTCTTAAATTTCAATTATAGATGCTCTTCAGGAAGATCGTGATTTCCTTTCATAATCTGCATTTTCTAATAAAATTAGACTCATTTTTCATTAATTTATAACTACTTAGTTGTTGAGTTAAAAAAAAGCACAGCCTTAATCACTGATAATCCGTTGAGAATTTAAGTTTAATTTAATAATACTTAAACACTTTGAAAGTAAGACATTTTTATATTCTTTTTCATCAACGCGCTGCATGACAATGTAACGCATCCGACCCAATAAACTCAAAAATTCATCACGGAGCGCACCTCAACTCGTGCCGCACTTTATGAAACTATGCAGATTAACCTGCTCATAAAAGTTACTAACTAAGCTCATTGCCTTACAGAACCTCCAATGAATGTAGAAAACTTTCCACTTTCTGTGCGCTGAAAGTGAAACCAAAGGATCAAACCAGGAAGGAATGAGGAAAGTTTGTGGTAAAAATAAAAATCGAAAAACCATTTTTAAAGTGGCATTATAAGTGCCAACTGCTAAGAACTGTAGAATTTTCCACAATATTGCACAAATTAAAAAATGCTCAACATACTTTTTACTTTTATGTACTTTGCACAAGCTGGTGAACCAAACCGGAAGATTTTCTGCACTTTGGTAAACAAAAGCCACTAAAATCCTTGCAAGAAAATGAATATAAATAGAAAGCAAGAAAAAATAAAATGGCAAAGAGAAAGTTCTTTGCTTTCGCAAAAATATGCACTGGAAATGCACAACTACACATACAAGCGGTGCAATAAAATCTAACGAAGCTTTTTAGCAATTACTTTGCTCTGTAGCGCGCAGAAAGGAAAAATTTTCTTCTAAGATCCCGTATGAAAGCGAACAGAAGAGGCGGAAAAATAAACCCAAAAATGTCTTATGAAAAACAACTAAGAAACTTATAAGGAAAGACCATTTTTCTAAATTGATTGCTTTTAAAGCAATAAAAAGTATTTACAGTTTTTGTAGCCATTTACCGTACCTTTCCTACTCCTTGCACTTCCTGAATTTACTCATTGTTAGAACAGTGCAATTTTCCTTTACTTTATCATCGAAATTCTTTTATTTTCTTCTTAGATGTGTTTTTCAGAGACGTGGATCGTTCACACCGACTCCGAAACAAACCACCAAGGCTTAGATACTAGTACTAACTGGAAGCAGGGGCAAGGGCAGGACTTGCACTTCCTTGCGTTTCATTTTGATGCATTTAGTGTACGCAAGATTGCTTTCGCAGTAAAAGTTTCTTGCTATCATTTAAAGTGTAACTTCTTCTTTACTTAAAGGTACAAGCTACGGTCCAATTTCGAGAAAATGATTTCTTCTTTCTTCTTTACTAGTTGTAAGCACTCGTCGTCGTATGTTGCTGGAAATATTATTGCTGTTGTTGCAGTTGTTGTTAGTATTTTGTTATCTGTATACGCGCTCCTTAGTCCTTGTGAACGCTGTAAGTAAATTATGTCAAGAAAAAGAAATTTCCAGAGTGTTGAAATATTATAAGAAAATTTATAAAAGGCGAAAAAAATTACTAAAATTCCTTTTGCAATTTCTGCTCTCAAATAGTGTATGTGAAAATGAAATTTATTCCTTATTGAATTTAATGCACTTCACGAAGTAAATAAAAGGAGCTAATACAAAAGTAATTAAAGTTTAATATAGTTGTGCTGCTCATCTAGAAATACCTCTAGCAGGATAATAGACATTTTTACAAAAATTGCTTATTGAAAATTGTACGTGAAACTAAATTCGAACTAAATTTGGACTTAATTTAAACTAAATTGGAACTAAATTTGAACTAAATTTAAACTTAAATTGAAGTAAATTGGAAAATTACTAGGTAATTGCGCAGAAAATAAAAGTATAAGCAGATATATAAGATTGTAAGAAAGAAATAGGTTTTGAGAAATTTATGATAAAAACTTTAATCCACATAATACCAATATACAAAATATTCATATTATATTAGCTTGAGGAAATGGGTGAGCTCTTTAGTATCTTAAATATACTTACTGTTGTATCCTCAATTGACTATTACGGATAACAAAGAAGGAAAATATGGTATATGACCGCATGTACACCAATGAGAAGCAAAGTTTTCGGTGTGTGTTAAAAATCCTGCCGCTTAAAAAATGCCTCCGTTAACCTGCATACCATTTATTCCTGGAGTTCATGCCTCAATTCTTGGGTATCGACCAGTGGTAGATTAGGGAAGCAAGTGCGAGCTTGAGTTTTTAGTTCCATATATGGTATGTATGCATTAAAAAACTAATATAGCACCTTTAAATTGACTGTTGATCTCTGAAGGGCACTTTAGTTTAAGAGTTGATCCTCATATGTGTCGCTTGAAAGATGGAGTCGAAAGACCTGCAAAAAAGAGTTGTTTTCATGCAAAACAAAAGAAGTCGTTGACAGTACGAAAGGCATGATATCACTCGCTAAAACCGATCCGTCATCCATTAAACGAATACTTGCTGCAGATGTGATATAGATTTTGGAGATCCCATATTTATTAAACATATGATTACGAGGCTTGAATATGATTGACAATCCAGACATCAGTCAAGTGAATGAAATTCACCGAATGAGGGAAGACTAAAAAGACCACTTCACTCTCAGCCAAAAAAAGAACACCTGCTCTATATCAAAAACTTTTTACCATAAAATAATACTCAGCAAAGATTCTTGTTTGAATGTTACGAGAAATTTACGTAAAGACATTTTGCCAAAAATACCAAAATTGTGGACAAACACTTTATGGATTTTGTGCCGCGATTTCGTACTCTCATACACTGCCATCTGTGTTCGGTGACTCTGATGAAAATGCTGAGATCCGGTTATTAAAAATGTTTCGAGGTTGAATCGAGTCTGGTAAAAGTGCGTTTTAATCAATGTAGAGCACATTAAAGAACACAATAATGATTAACAAAAATAAACTGTATTTTCAATTTATTACTTGAGTTCCAAAAACTACTTGATGAAGTTGGTATATATGTTATGTATTTTAACTTCTTGTTTCACAATAGACTAAGTATTAAAATGTTTAACCATCGACTTAATACTCTTTTGCAATTTTTTTGGTTAAACATGTTTACCCATATGAATTATTAACTTAGCACAATATCATATTACATTAGTGTGTCTCATATCCATTATTACAAACTATATAATCATTTATAGATATAAGAATGAAATATCATTGTCTAATATGGTTTTGATACAGATTTTTTTACTCATAAAAGGATTTATATGCTACTTTCTACGAGCAAAAAAGGCATTAAGATATATCTCTCTTATTTGTGTGTATAAATTTCGTTCTGTCTATAAGTATTTAAAGAAACCTGTGATTAAATCAACATATAAAAAAAATAAATTTTATAAATTGATAAATGCAAAAATTTTAGATAAGATCTAATAGATTTCAGTGTATAATCGTTTATTACTTTTGCTTATATACGAGTAACTTAAATAATAGACTTTAGTTGTGATATTTTGTTTATTTTTGATGGAATAATTTTGTTAGTATATCTGACAGTAGAGCGAAAACATTACAAAATGTAAGTACTTGCAAATTTTGCAGCATTTCATGGTCAATAAAGTTATAGATCTCTTCATATATACTGTTCTGAATGCATCTCATATGCTATTATAACGGCAAATATCTTTAATATTTGGTTCCGAGTGCAAAAGTCACATTTTTCTTTTGCTTACCAATTTGGCGACACTTTTTCAAAATTGGTTTAGATAGAGGTTTAAAAACCATAGTCCTAGATTTCGTTGTACCAACACCAATCGTCCTCTTCCTAGCAGTCTTCTTCTCGGTTTGAGATTGCTTTGCACAAGTTGTCTTCATCACTCTTCGAGGACGTGACACAATATAAGGCGGGTAATTTCCTCCTCCTCCCAATTGACGCGGCTCACAACAAGGCACGGCACAATCTATATTAGTTTTTGAACGGAAGAGCTTACTGACACAGAAATAGATAGTCGTTAGTATCACAACAAAGAGATGCAACAGAAATATGTATGCGACTATATAGACGAAACCTAGCAATAGCACCTCCACAATTGTGGGATCATTGACAACAGGAAATTTGTTTAAAGCTAAGAAAATATTTTATTATTAAACAATTTTTTATTTTTTTCTTATTAACACATATACTTAACATACATCTAAAGTACGGCTCTGAACCGAAAAGTGATTTTGCGTCACACATATTATTTTTGTACTGGAAATTTTGCAAGGACCTATAAATGTTTTTGAAGCTGCAAACAAAAGAGTCCAAAACTAGAATTTTAACGGTGTTGTTTTCTACAATTTTTTTTGTTAAAAAATATTTCAGTAAATATTTTGGTATATGACAATATTTTTAATAATTTAGAATTTTCTATTGATTACTTAGTGAAATTATTTTTTTTTTTGTTATTGAAATGTTGTATACAGTTTCAGGAAAAAATTTTTTGGACCACATGCCTTATCTGCTATATTAGTTTATTAAATTATTGTAGTGTCAAAGTCACTTAACTTTTCAAATCGCTGAAGGGCATATAATAATTATGCCAACTATCAGTTCTCGATATCATTTACACTATTGCCTGCATTTGCAGTAGGCAATTCATTACATTCTGCAGTGGAAGCAAACTACGGTGACTCCAATTAGCGATAATTACCAGCTTGACTCTAACATAATTATCGCTTCGAAACAGACACAAGAGCATATGTGTCCAGCAAACCACACAGCGGTGTTAATTAGTTCAGTGGCATTCCAGTGCTAAGAACAGTTAATTGTTACTATCGCTACCGACTTTGCCATTGCATCCAAGCCATGTACGAGTAACGCCACAATCCACTCCCGTTGAAACTGCTTTACGTGGCTCAAATTAGTCCGAAAATTATTGTCCTTCACGTATTTCTTTTTGCTGTGGCAACGCCAAAATGCTACTATATTTCCTTAAGCTGCCGCTGGCGCACAAAATCTCTGCAGTGTTGCCAATTAAATGAAACTTTTTTGGCTTCTTGGAATTTTACTACTTTTCTTTTTCACCGTTAATTGCTTATGTAAAGCTCGACTACTGTCTTTGCGTAAATACGCGCGACCATCCTCCCAATTGTTTGAGCTCGTATGCTGGAATATGTCAGTGGACCATTGGACTCTTTTGTGCCCGACATGCACAAATATTTGCTTCTCATTATCCGTCGAAGAAAAACGGCCAACCATTCTTTTGAGCTGAGCGTGTTAACGCTTTATTGGCTTTCTTTATTCTCGCACATGGAAGATACTTTACTTTGTGCTTTTTTCTTTTGTGCTGCGTTAATAGGAAAATAACAATGTAACGGTACGGTTAATCGGTTAGTATATTTTCGGTTATGGCTTTATGCGTTCATTATGCTGCTCCTACTTGGGTATTGTTCGCATAGGTAATCCGCATAAAGCACACAACAAAAAGACCATAACAAAGGATTTTTCGGCCGTTTTGAGATGTTATCACAAAGTTACGCATGCACGGGTATGGCTCATAGTCGCAAGTCAGTCGCGGAAGTGTACTTCACTGGATTACTATTCCACGGTAGAAGAGTTGGAGGCTGTGGTATGCCATCTCCCAAGTATTGCGAAATCCAGCCGCGTGTTTTGCTATAAAAATAAAAAACAAAGCCGGATTCATATATTTTTATGCCTTACAGTAATTGACAATTTGCAGAAATTTGCGTTTAGATTGTGGCCCACATTTTCGTAACATGTGGGAACTGTGATTATTAGCTTCTTATATCCAAAATACTAATTTCTGCGTTGACAATAGGCATAAGCCTTAATCTTTAGCTTTTTGCTTATCAAAAGTAAATAATATTTTATGGCACATTTTGCACAAGAAATGGCAAATGTTTTAACGGCTCTCAGAATCGTTAGTTTTTATTTCAAGCTCATTTACAGTTCTCATAAAGTCTTTCGATGATGGCAATTGCAGTTAGGCTGAGCCTTAAAAGGAGATTCCCGATTACCACAAGTTAATGAATATTTGTAAACGACAAAGTGTAATGAAATATTTTACAAAAGATCAGTTAAGAATCACTGTATTAGAATTTAGAAAATGTATTAGTTTGAGACCAAAAGCCATCCTTGAAGATTCAGATTTTTTTATTTTTAGTACATAAAAATTAGCTTACATTTAATATATATTTTGACTTAATGAAAATATGAAAATGATAGGTGAAGTTATCTGCCGCATTGATGTTATACAAAGACAAAATATAAGTAAATTATATTACCAAAAGAATCATAACTAATTGAAATACAGGCACATAGCCAATGAAGGAGCCTAAGGAAGTAAAGTCCCATCCAAAATTACCCGATGAACTTAGTATATCTCTAAACTTCGATGATGTAATGCCATTATCTACCGAGTATAAGTAATGGTATGGTTTGGAAGGGAGTAAAGTTCCATACAAAATTACCCGATAAACTAAGTGTATCTCTAATGCTGTCATCGGTGATAAAATGCCGTTATCTATCAAGAATAAGTAATGGTGTGGTTTTGTCGAACCTTTTCCTGGGGTTGTGGAATTGGTCAAGAACAGTGACAAGACTTATTTTCAAGCAAACTACAACTAATCTAACCACCGTACTTGTGTAAAAAGTCCATCCCCTGCCCATTCTGTCCAAGCCCGACTGCGTCCTGCCCATGCTTTCTGGCTTATATAAGCCTTAACCCTTAGGTATTAAGCTTCATGATCTCATCTTTATCGATTATTTACGGAATGAACTTTTCACATTGCGGTAGAAATCTCCATTCATTCCTAACAAACGCTTTTAGTGGGATTTTCTGAAATTAAGTATTTTCATATATTTTTGAACAATCACAATAGAAGTGTTGTCAATTCATATTTGGTCATAATAATATATAATAATTGGTCAAGATAAATAATAAAAATTCTGACAGAAATTGTAATTAAAAATTGTGTAATTTCGATACCATTAGGTATTACAGTGAACGCAGAAGAAGATGTCGATCTTGTGTTGAAAAAAAATTTAGAAAATTTCGTCGAAAATTTTTCGTATTTCGACTAAAATCTCTGGAAGTGAGTTTTTGGTTACGGGCCTATCAAAATAAATTTCAAACTATCACTTTATTTGTATTATAAAGCAAAATAAGTAAACTGTCACTACTAACATCCTTGTAATCCTTTAACAATCTAGTAATTAGTGATAGAATGGCTGAAAGTTGTTTTATAAAGTGGTAATAATTAAGTCTGTTTTTAAAATATTTTTTAATATTTCTTTTAAGAACCAATATTCAAAACTCTAAATCGAAACTATGACTCCAATGTGATAGTGTTATTTGATTTGCAAAAAAAATGTGTAAAAATGAAAAAAGGAAATACGTAAACACAATACATGAAATGGAGACTGTACGTCATCATAGGAAATGATTCCAAATTAGTTTACTGGCATCAGTGTGATCATATAGAAAGGCTATAAGGAAAAAGTTATCTTAAAGAAATTCTTGCAACATTTTATAACTAGTCGTTAGTTTCAAATAACTCGTAATTAGAAACTATTAACTAGTTTTGAATACTTGTGATAAGTATCTTGTAACTAGATTCTAATAACTTATAATTTGTAACTAATAACTAATTTCTAACCATCTGTAATTAGTAACCAGTACTTGGTTTCTAATATTTGTAATTAGTAACCAGTAACTACTTTCTAATAACTTATCAATTAGTAACTAGTAACTGGTTTCTAATATTTGTAATTAGTAACTAGTAACTACTCTCTAATAACTTATCAATTAGTAACTATTAACTACTTTCTAATAACTTATCAATTAGTAGTCGGTAACTAATTTCTATTAACTTGCAATTAGTAACCATTAACTAGTTTCTAAAAACTTGTCGAATAGTAACTAATAACTGGCTTCTAATAACTTGTAATTAGTAACCAGTAACTAGTTTCTAATAACTAGTAATTGGTAACCAATAACTAGTTTCTAAAAACTTGTCAATTAGTAACTAGTAACTGGTTTGTAATAACTTGTAATTAGTAGCCAGTAATTAGTTTCCAATAACTAGTAATTATTAACTAGTAACTAATTCTTAAAAACTCATAATTAGTAACTAGTACCTAATTTTCAACAATTCATAGTTACTAGTTCATAGTAACTAGTTTCCAATAACTAGTTAAAAAATTTTAATTAGTAACTAGTACCTAATTTTCAACAATTCATAGTTAGTAGTTACTAGTTCATAGTAACTAGTTTCCAATAACTAATAATTAGTAACTAGTAACTAATTCTTAATAACTTATAATTAGTAACTAGTACCTAATTTTCAACAATTCATAGTTAGTAACTCATTTTTAGTAATTGGTAGCTTTTGTTTGGATTATTCAAAAGCTTCGATTGTAATAAAGTCGTATGAGTTAAACATTGTTTGGTATAATGTTAATATTTAGAATAAAGAACGAATAGGAAAACCCGGTTAAATTTCAAGCTCGTTTAGGAAGACTCCAATAACAAAGTGTAGTTTTAGTGAAAAAACTTAACCCTACAATCTAAAGAAGTTTTAGGTATGAAAATATTCGTCTCTAACGTCTCTTACTTCTTTTGGTGAGTGCTCTGTAACTACAGTCAATATTTGTTATAGAAATACTTAAAATCTTACTTTAAATTAACTATTTTGGCACTTAGCATATTGTAAATGTGTGTACTAACGAATATGAGGCGTAACAAGCCAAATTCTTATCCAAATAACAAACCAAATACAAACTCAAAATTTAACCAAACCAAAACAAAGTCAACCTAACCAAACCGAACCGAACTGAGTTGAACTGAACTGCTTTAGTGGCGGATTTTCTTTACCGAAAATGGAAATTTATACAAATTACAAAATCGCATGAAGACGAAAACTAAAGAATTTCCCTAACGGCCCCCAACAGAACAAAAATAAAAACAACAACAATATGAAATGCTTGAAAGTAGTCAACAACGTCATAAGCATGTCTTCACTGTATTGGATTTTACTGGTGCCATTCCTGAAGCTCTTGCCTGCCAATGCCTTCGTAGGGAATATAAAAGAAATTTTCAACTGAAAATAGAATTGAAAATTTTATGCTCCAAAAAAGACCAAAATTGGCGAATTATGCGCAGCTGCGTTTATGGCTACTGTGTTGGCTACTGTCCCATCTTGGCATGGTACGATTTGATTTAGTTTCATTTTCCTCCTTTAATTTTGTGGTTTCGCTCAACATTCCTGCAGATACTCTACTAGCTAAACAGCAAGTCTTTGAGGTGCCTTTTTAGTAGTCGCGTTCGTTAGAACATCTGAAAATATG